ATCCATGTGTCTTGGCATCAATCTTCCCTTCCATCTAGGAGGTTCTCAAAGCAGGGGCTCCATATCCAAAGGATGTACTCTTCTCCCAGTTCTTCTTTCTTGGTGGTATAAGGTCCCTTTTTCTCTTCTCGCTTCTTTATCCTTCCATCTCTTGTAAGATAAAAGGTGATGTAGGCCACACCTCAGAGAAACTCCCATTACATCAGATCAGGGTAGTGACCTGAGTAAGGGAGTTGCATCTTATCCTAATCCCCTTACAAATGACTGGCTGATTACATTACATCACATCATAGGGGATGATTACATCATCATATAACCACCAAGTTGATACATATTTAGGGGGGCACAAATCAATCCATGACAATACCCTTGGGGTATAATTGTTGGGTCATATGGTCACTCATATGGCACAGGACCAGGCAGTGTTTCATTCTGTTTTACATAGGGTCACTATGAATCAAAACTGACTTGATGGCATCTAACAACAACAATGGTAATTCATGTTTCACTTTTTTCTTTTTTAAAGAATTGCCAAACTGTATTCCATAGTGACTGCACCATTTTACATTCTACCAGCAATGTATAAGAGTTCCAGTTTCTCTACATCCTCATCAAAATTTTGTTTTCTCCATTTCTGATAATAGCCATTCTAATAGGTATGAAGTAGTATCTCATTGTGGTTTTGTGGGGGGTTTATTGACCTCTTAAATAGGGCTCAAACTATACATGATAAGATTTACCCCTATTTCTTACTATGGGGCCGAGGAACTACATAATTGTGTCCCCAAGCACCTCCCCTTCAGGTCAGTCAGGGTCATTGGGAAATTCAACTGGCCTGGCCCCTTCTATGCACTGATCCTGTGGAGTGGACTATCATGCCACAACTTTTTAACAAGCCCTCTTGGGATCCTGTCTATCAACAGAGACAAGATAACATGAGAATTAAAATCATCGCCCCTCCTTGCTGCTGTATTTAGCATACATATATTTGTGTTCACAACAGATTGGTGGTCTTGCTGGGCAGATTCTTAGGGCTCTATCCCCAGTGAACCCTCTTCTACCACTAGAACACCCAGGCTCCACTCTCCACCCGTTGCCCCAATGCCAACGCTAAGAGCTTCTGTTCTGAGCCTGGTCAATATCTAGAAGTTCAACAAGGTTCTAGGGAAAATCTTACAGGCCACTCAGATACTGTGGGCTCCCTCAATTGCCTCACCTAGGGAACACTACCCTCTCCTCTTCTTCCCATTCAAGTTTTGTTACCGACAAGATGTTGGGAAGCTGTCCTTGTTGTTCAGACAGTTTAAACTTTCACTGAAGCATTTCAGTGAGGGCAGCCCCAATGATGTCTTGTTTGAAGGTTACATGGTGTATACTCCTTCTATCTATCACTGGCTTCTCTGCTGCCTTCTGAAATAACATCTCTAGCATCAACACAATGCCAAATGCTTTCTTCTCCTGCCTCATGGTAGGTTTTTAGAAATTTGACCTTCATGGTCCTTTGCCTTTTCCATACTATCGAACACCTGTTTGAGTGTCCTCAAGAATCCCAGCCAGGCTAATGGAGGTATTGTTAGCTGAGGACATGGATGACTTAATGTGCAGGGCCCCTCAGGCTTTCAATCCAACTCTTTCTCTTTTCTGCCTCAGATACTTGCCACTCATAAATTCTCTCAGTGCTGTACTCCAGCCAGGTTCAAAAGCCTCTTCACCTAAGCTGACACAGCATTCACAGAGAGCACCCTCAGTTTTAGTAACCTCTGATTTCAACAAAGGCCCAAACTGCATGCTCCAATGTAGGAACCATCCTCTAGCTTCCTTCAGAGGGCTTACTCTGTCTTTCCTCCATCTGCCGCCCTTCCAATCTTCACCTCAAGGAAAATAATCCTTGAGGTGATCCTCTTTATAAATTCAGTATCTTAAGGAGAGGGCTTATCACTTTTCATGAACCTCCTTGTCTCAAGTATTTCCCTGGGATCCTATGCTATAGAGTGCTCTAACAAGGTCATATTTAAACTTTGTTCCATAATGATCACACTTTCAAATGCCTCTTATTTTTCCTGACCCTGCAAAAACAAAGTGGCATCACTTAAATGCTATGTTCATCTGAGTTTTGTGGGATCACCAAAGCAAACAATTCACTAAAGGTCCATGTCCATTCCATGATGCCCATCTTCTAACAGTTTCAATGCCTTTCAAACGCCCAGCAGTTCAATTCAGTTTTCAAAAGATCTGTTAAGCCAGATTGGGGATGGTCTGGAACATACGTTCAGATGCAAAAGAGCCCCAGAACCAACGTTTGAGCTCTGGGAGGATGTGCAGGTGATGCTCCAGCGTATAAAGAATCCAGGGGCCTTATAGTAGCCAGATACTTCTTCAAGAAAAATCAGTTGACACCAAGTTGACTCCATCTCATGGTGACCTCATGTGTGCTCCATAGTGTTTTTAATGACATTTTGAGAAGTAAATAATCAGGCCCTTCTTCTGAGAGCCTCTGAGTGGGTTCAAACTGGCAACCTTCCAGTTAGTAGCTGAGCACTTAATCATGTGTACCACCCAGGGACTCCAAAATAAATCAATCTTGTGTAACTAGTTGCCAGTTGCCTTCAGTTTATTCCTAAGTGTTTTTATTTTTGTTATTATGATTTTGTTTTGTTTTTAACAAAGTGTGTTTTTTTACCTTGCAATAGATTGTTTCCATAATGTGATGAGACCCCAAGGGGTCAGCCTTGGGTTGGTTAACTTTAGGATAGCTTCTGGGCTGTGATAAGATTCACAGCATCCTTACCTGGTTAAATATTTCATCAAAAGTTGGTCGTTGTTCTGCAGCCTCAGCCCAGCACTGCTTCATCAACTGGAGACATTCTGGTGGGGCAAATTCAGGTGGAACCACTGGTCTGCACACAGGAGGAGGCTTCTTAAGTCTGTTTATGATTTCTGTCCAGATGCAAGAAGAGAAAGGTTTGCAAATCATAGAGAAGCCACCAAGATTTGGCCAAGATAATTGAGTTTTAGCAAAGAAAGTGTTTGTCAGGGGAAAACACAGAAAGGCCATATCCTTGCTTTATTATTAACCCATAAACCAGTTGCCATTGGGTTGATGCCGACTCACGATGACCTCATGTATGTAAAAGTAGAACTGCACTCCATAGGATTTTCAATGGCTCATTTTTCAGAAGTAGATCCCTAGGAGTTTCTTCCAAGGTGCCTCTGGGTGGACTGAAACCTCCAACCTTTCAGTTAGAAGCCAAGCATGTCAGCCATGTGCAACACCCAACAACTCCTGCTTTCTCATTAGGTGGCCTGAATATAATAAAGCGTGTCTGAGAAAAGTCTGCATCAGTTAATTTGAGGTGGAGGTGAGAAATTAATCAATTAAACTATTGGTATCATTTAGACATAGCCTTATTCTGCTTGGTTTTAGACGTAACCTATCTAACATCAATTCTAATGTTAAACCTTTAAAGACCTGGCTCCCTTCATCAACCGCAAATCATCTAAACCTTCCAGTCACCACAGTAGACCCACTTAGCTAGGCCTCCATGCAGGCCCAGCCCCAGTCCAAGTCTAGGTGTTGGGCCCTGCTTGGCCCCCAGGCAAAGGGAATTAATTTTTGCAAGAATACTACAGAGGGAGGAAGATCTAAGATGGTAGACTAGGAAGATGCACTATCCAGACCCTCTCTAACAAAGACTTGAGAAACCAAGTGTTCTGGTTATTCTGTTCTGGTTACCTCTGTGCTGCTCTAACAGAAAATACCACAAATGGGATGGTTTGAACGAACAGGAGTTTATTCTCTTACAGTTTGGAGGCTTTAAGTCCAAGTATAAAGTGCCAGACTCTAGGGACTGGGCAAAAGTCCCTCAACCTTGGGCTTCAGCTCTGCCTCCTGCTCCCAGCATGCTGAAGCTAGAGGCTTTTCTTCATTCAGACAGCGGCTGGCTGCTGAGGCTGACAAACCCAAGGCTGACAAGTAAAAAGGCACAGTCCTGATGTTACCAAACCACATGGCAGGCCATTAATTCAAGTCCATTAAAAGTCCCAAGATCAACAGAGCATAGCAAG